TGAAATCTAATGACTCAAAGGCAGTGATGTAATATTATTATATTTTTGTCGGTGAAATACTTAATTTTTACCAGTGTTAGAAATTTGGCCTCTACAATATCAGTATGTGGCCGAAAAAGTGAAATTTTATTAAAGCAAGAAACAAAAGGATCAGAATTTGAGTAGGTATTGAGATAACAGCTAACACCACACACACAGTTACAGGTCATGATAATAACAATAAGTTCCTCCTTTCTTATTGAAGGTGCATACTGTGCTGCATCTAAATAAATATTTTGAAATATTTCTATTACATTTTATTTTCAGTCTTTCATGTTTACAAAGACACTTGTTCAGTTGTGTCAGGAAGCAAAGAAAGCAGATTGTGAAGAACTGAATATTGTTCAATTTCTTGGTGGAAGAATTGTGGGATGCAACTTCCTCCCAATACAAGCTCAGACATTTCATGGTACTGGTTCACATTTTGATGATGTCATGTTCTAGTCTTGTAGAATTCTCAACTTCTGTGCTAGTGGAAATTTTTTTTCGAATACAATAATTATAAAAATGTTGCATTAGAAAAAGAAAAAAAAAAATAAGATTAAAATATTTAGAGGAAGTCACAAAGCAAAATTAAATTTTCTAAATATTTCTGCTTGAAATGTTTTAGGAATTATGCTTTTTAAAGGGAGATAATATAAAATAATTTAGCATTTACAAATGTTGTTTGGGTTATCTAACTTAACAGAATGTGTGTGTGAATCTTGTTGAAATCATATAGATGGAACAAATTTTGTCAAATTCTGTATCTATCATCAAGCTTTGATTAGTCTAACGATATAATGCCATGACTCTTAAAAGTCTTTGCTAGCTTCAAAAAGTCCTTAATTTTTCAATTAGCATTGACAATGTTTGAGTGTATGAAAGATATTGTTGTACCATTGCAGATGTTTCAATGTATTTTTTATCTATGGTAATATAATAGTGGATGCTGTTTCATGTAGTTACACATTGACACACATAAACCTTTTTTTTTTTGCTATGATCTAAAAAGATGCAAATGTGTCCTATAAATATTTTTTTTTGAAGTTTCCTTTTTTACAATACCTCTATCCAAGTCAAAACTGTATGGAGGAACCTTGGTGGGTGGAACCTGAACGCGGATTTTTAAAAAAGTTCAAATGATTTTCCTAGAAATGTAACAGTTGATGTATATTGCTGAGAAAAGAGTTATTATGCCACACTGGAAAAACTCTAGTTTGACCATTATAACTTTTCAAAGTATAAAAAGAAATAAATTTAAATTTGGCTAGAGAACTAGGTCTAGATCTAGATCCAACATCAGTTTTGAAAGGACTATTACATTCTTGAAAGGACTATAGCATTATGAAATTTCTGAATGTAAGGCATTATTGATTCAAGAGTTAAATAAATTAATGGTCAGGAAAATTTGGCATATATTATCTTCTAAGTCTAGAACAGGCTAGAGCTAAAGGCTTGTCACTGGAATATTATAAAGTCTAGTAGATCCATACATTTGCTTGACCAGGATGTAAGGAAAAGGGCGGTTAAAAAATGTTCCATTGCTTTTTAATCTAACATTCTTTAGTTGTTAAGAGAAAAACAATCGCTCTATAAATTGTAGGAGGTATTGTCTTTTTCAAAAAGTATTTTTAATAATTTTTTTAATTATACTTCATTATTCTGACATTGCCTTCAGTTCCACTAATTATTGTATTCATCTCAATTGTTTCTTTGTAGATCTGAGTTTATCTGTGATGGAAGCATTCATTGACCAAGAGGTCAGGCCGATAGTCCAGCTCTCCCAATGGACTCTCACCCTCGTCACGTCCCTGATAGCTGCTCTCCTGTGCGGCCGGCTGCTGTGCCACGCCACTGCATCTACCATACGACATTTTATGCTGCTGTCTGACCGCTTGCCCCGTGTCCGGGTTTACCAGGCAGAGGACAACCGCAACTCTGCTGCTGTGGCCATGCACCACAGCCAGTCGTGGGTGGACAGCTGTGAGAGCGGCGTTTACCTCGGAGAAACGGATGAGGCCAACAAAGAAGAGAACAGGTAGCAAGAGAAGACAACTGCCGCAACCCAGAAAAAAGTTTTTGTTTTCCACACTTTTGTGAATCAAATTTGTAAATCTCCTTTTGTCTGTAGTCACGATGTGAAGTTCATTTTAAAGATGTTAATGTTCCTGCATTTATTACCATTATTATTAAACATCCTGACATTTATAGATAAGTCATAATGTTGTTTTACATCAGGGGCTCTCAACCTGTTGGTCGCAACCCCTTTGGGGGTCAATTGACGATTTGCCAGGGGTCGCCTAAGACCATCAAAAATATGGATTGTTATTGTCTACTCTTCTATTGCTGTGTGTGTGTAAGGGGGGAGGGGTCGTGGCAAAGTTAGGAATTGTAAAAAGGGGTCACCGAGCTTAAAAGGTTGAGAACCGCTGTTTTACATGGAAAAGTATTTACACAAACTATAAACTTAGTGTTTCCATATAAATGCATATTGTTTCGTTTCTTTTTCACTTTCAGTTGATGACTTGCTTATGTCTTTCATTATGTGTTGTTGTTCACAAGGTCAACATCGTTATATAAAACATGATCAAAGAAATGTGTAATCAATAATCCAACATAATTCTTATAACTTTGTCATCCTGTTCTTATACCAATCATTTTGTTTTCATAGTTATCTTTATGAACTCATGCTACACAGTTGTCAATCAGCGAGCTATGTCATGTTATACTTTTTAACTATAGTTACTATGTAACATTTTTACTTGTATTATTTTTATATATACCGATATATATATATACATCAATCTACATTATTTTGATTTTGTACTTCCAATGAAATATTAAATTGTAAGTCATTCAATGATATCGATGTGCATGTTTTATTTCGATGATTGTTTGTATAAGCTACAAGAGTCGCTCAGATATATATCTGCTGAATGAATCCTGATTGATTTCTAAGCTGCACCAAATTAATTCTTTAGTCTGTCAGCCCTTAGCTCTAAGCTGCACTAAATTAATTCTTCAATCTGTCAGCCCTTAGCTCTAAGCTGCACTAAATTAATTCTTCCGTCTGTCAGCCCTTAGCTCTAAGCTGCACTAAATTAATTCTTCCGTCTGTCAGCCCTTAGCTCTAAGCTGCACTAAATTAATTCTTCAATCTGTCAGCCCTTAGCTCTAAGCTGCACTAAATTAATTCTTCCGTCTGTCAGCCCTTAGCTCTAAGCTGCACTAAATTAATTCTTCCGTCTGTCAGCCCTTAGCTCTAAGCTGCACTAAATTAATTCTTCCGTCTGTCAGCCCTTAGCTCTAAGCTGCACTAAATTAATTCTTCCGTCTGTCAGCCCTTAGCTCTAAGCTGCACTAAATTAATTCTTCCGTCTGTCAGCCCTTAGCTCTAAGCTGCACTAAATTAATTCTTCCGTCTGTCAGCCCTTAGCTCTAAGCTGCACTAAATTAATTCTTCCGTCTGTCAGCCCTTAGCTCTATGTTGTTTTTCCCCTCCCCTTTCCCAAGTTAAGCCAGGATTAACCCATTAACTCCTCCTGCAGTTCATAACGTTTCTACATTATATGCCTAAAACTTGTGGAACTTTCACGATGAATGTCTTGTTTAGACAAGAGAACTAGAGTGTGGTGACTCTATTTTTTAGTCAAAACTGGATATGCATTGCATTTTTTAAAGAATCTTTAGAATGATCAGTCTTGTAAACCCAGTGTTTAAGCCCCACCCAGGAAAAAGAGAATTTTTTTAAGCTATTTATATTCCAAAGGTAAAAAACTAGGCATAGCTATCTATTTTCTAAAATTGTTTATTTATTTAATAGTAAAAGTTCTTAAATTTATACATTTTTTTAGTTTTTAAGATTTTTTAAAATTTGCTTAGGTCTTAAGAGAGAATTTTTCAGACAGAATATAGGATCTATTGGGTTAAAAAGACTTGACTTTAAGATGAATTTTTTTTTTAAATGCACTTTTGGTCTTTGAAGCCAATATATAGACAAACTGTTTTCAGTGTTGTAACAATCAATATACTAGGTAGTTCTTCAAAGCAGTTGCCTTTATAATTTTTCTATTTATAAGCCATAAGTAAGATTGTAAAGATAAGGTCAGATTGATGACTTTTACTTAAGTGTTGGGACCCTGATCATACTGCAACACAAATATTGCAGAGGAAGTTTTTTTTTCGTCTGCTGAAGAAAGGGGAGATAATTCAGTCTGTTTGGTTAGAAAAAAAAAAACAACAACTATGGTTTCCTTAGGTCTATGAGGAAGTCATTGTTGAAGTCCTCCATTTTGTTTTGTTTTTTTCCTGATGTCCTTTGCATGACATGTATCGTGCCAATTATCTGCAGACAAAATGTTGACCTTTGATCTGACCCTTGCAGCACTTCCTGGGAGTGTCTCAGAAATACTTTTTGTTCTGAGCCTAGTAGATAGTGAAGCTGAAGCATGACATTGTGTGTGTGAGTGTGTGTGTCTGTACTGGGCAAAAAATTGCTTTAGTGGACCACTGGCAATTATCTGAATTGGATAAATTGTAGTCACACAGTCTTCAAATGTTTCAAAAATTGAAACAAATGTAATATAACATTTTAATATTGTTTTAGATAGTCACTTAAATCAGCAATTTAAGTTTAAAAAAAGGCTAATATAAAATCTATATAATTGTTTCATTAAACACTTTAAAAAAAAAATAATAATGATAAAGATAAAAAATATGGGATATTTTGCCTCCTATCAAAGGAGTTGTTGAAAAAATAATGGAACAATTAATTTTTCTAGCAATTCAGAATTATGTTATTGTTTTTTTTTTTGTTTTTTTTTATGTGATGTTTGAGTTGAAAAATTGTTTTAAATTGTCATAATTTTAAAATATACTTTAATGATAGTGATATAGTTTCCTAGAACGCATTTGCATCAACTTTGAGCCTTTTGATTCTAATCTTTACTTTTTTTTTTTTTCTCATTTTATAATTCATATCAAAATTGCATAATTTAAAAAATAAAATAAAACTAGTTATAAATCTATGAATGTAAATAATGTGTAATAATAGAGGATCATTTTTTGTATGAAATAAAATATCTACTTTTATTTCCTGATTCATTTTTTAAATATTTGTATGCATTTTTTTTTTTCTAATCTTTGTTCTACAGTAGGAAAAGATTGTCAGTTTTTTCTTTCATTTTGTTTCTGGTACAATCTTGTTATTTGATTGGTATAACCTTTAACCCCTTGCAAACAAATGTTTTAGTTTTGTTATTATGTTATTGATGTTTGGAGCTGGGAAACATGCACACACAAAACTGATACACACACATTACTTTTGCACACACACACACACAAATAAAACATAGACACATATACATGCATGTGTAATATAAAATGTACCAATGTCTTGAAATAAATTCCACCTTGTTGTCAATTATTTCAGGTGTTTTATTGTTGATGTCAGTAGAACTTAACTCTAAGAAGCATTGAGATTCATAACAAACGAATATTCACATTTGACTAGAGTAACACCTTTAGTAAAATCACTAAATTTAGAAAGGCTTCAGGACAGAAGACTCAAAAGTAAAGTTACCATACATAAAACACAGAACCATAATCTTCAAATACAAAAACAAAATTTAATAAAATACTCAGAAAGACACAAAGATAAAGGCACATTTCTCGTTCCCTATGCTAGGACTAATAGGCCTACTCCTTCTTCCCTAGTGCTATTAGAGCATGGAATGGGTTGCCTGAGCTAGGCAGTAAAACCAGTGACTTGGCAGAATTTAAGTCATTGGTTAATATGCGTGTCTAAATGCATGACGCGTAGGACGTAATCATCTTCTTTTTTGAAGTAACGTCTGTATTATATAAGATAAGATAAGAAGCAGGGACAGATAGGCAATACAAACTATGGCCCCAAAGAAATATTTAGCCCTGACATATAATACCTGGAATTACAAAGGACCCCATATCTCAAATACCATTGGGCCTTTTCAGATCTAAATACGCTACTGATAAAAAGGCCCTCTTTATAGCAGCTCTGTATTTAAGACTTGTTTGAGATGTCAGAAGATTATATAACTCCACTGACAGACAAGAGATGTACCCAGACGAAGGTTACAATTACAAAGGCCTGCGCTATAACGGCCATGCTTTATCTTGACTTCATGGTCACTCCTTTTTTTTTTGGGGGGGGGGGGGGGGGGGGTAGGGGTGACCAGTGCATGAAAGTGTTTAAATTATAGGTTTGATCTGAAGATCTTGAAAGTATGCATTGCTATATGCAACCACTAAAAACAAAATGTCAGGTTTTCAGAACAACGAGAGTAAGAATAATTTTTTTTAGCAGAAATAAAACATCTTGATAGAACAAAGAGATTGATGATTTGAAAATACAGAACAGAATTTTTGTTTTTTTCTATTTTTAGCTTCTCAGATTTGTCTAAACAAAGAGAATGCTGATGTGTTCTGTTTCAAAACAAATATAATAATGATTTTCAAACAAATACAAAATATGATTAAGTGTATAGAGAAATGATTCCATGCTGGTTGTAGATCTAGATTTATCACGGAAGGAAGAGGAATAGGCCCTAACTGTCAATATTTCTGTAAAATGTTTGACATGTTTCGGATATTCCTTCAGAGTTGAAGAAAGTTTACTTCCTAGTCCAAACCTTCCACAGGACGACGCGGGATGGGAGTGGGCAGGGTTTAAAACAGGACCATCGATAAATCCAAACGACAGTCCAGCGCGCAAACCGCAAGACCAGGCAGCCATACTGTGACTTGCATGAAGTTGTATCTAAAATCTAAGGCAGTAGTCAAGACGCTGCCCATAATTGGCCAGCTCGGGCGTCATTTTGACCTTAATTATATTTATAGGCCTATTTATTCTCTTAACCTACTTCGTAGAGGTGCTGTGGGCAGTTTGCGTAACAAGCTGACTTTTAAAGGAAAGATAATTTGCAAAACGCAGAATTTAGTAGACCATAGTCGAAGCGAGAAGCAGGCGATGAAAAGGGGATATAACCGAGCCATTAGCGACTAAAAGTCTTATCTTTCACAAGCGTATATCTATGTTTCAATGGATATTTTCAGGAACCGTTTTTTTTTCCTTGTATCTATACAATATGTTTTAAACATTTTGATTTTCAGTGTATGTGACTCTTAATTTACTATTGAAATTAAAAATGTCATTTTGTCCGTTTGTTAGAGACAAAATAATTTAAATGTTCTGATTGTTTGACTAGCATTAGTCTATTCTCTAATTTAAATTATATTAAAGTGGCAGAATTAAAATGTTCGAAAGCGACAGGAGATACAATTTCTATTAATTCATCTAAACGGACGAGACAGTCCCGAATGGTTAGTACAGAATACAGATATCATGATCAACCCTTACGATTGTTATCCGTACAAGTTTACAGTTACTATTTACAAAATAACACAAAAAAGCATCTAATTCCGTAATGCTCTTCTCTGTCTTTCTTCCTCTCTCTCTCTCTCTCTCTTTCTCATGCATTCATTTCACACAATGGGAAGCTGCCCTATCGATCAACATGCTTTACTTAGCTTAGGGGCAAGGATTCTATGATCATGTCTTATTTTTGATCAAATACCCCGATTTCTCTGGCTAGACTTCCTCCCTCCCCCTCTTCCCACTAGTCTGTGTCATCTAGATCTGCGTTCAATAACCAGTCTGTAACAGTCTGTCCATTGCAGGCAGTCAATGAAGCATGTTAAAAAGTGTATCTGAAATATCACAGTGTTCATAGAGCCTGTGATGATATATATGATCTGTGCTGATCAGGCATGTGTTGATAAAGCCAATCGTTAAGGCCTGGGTTTATAGGGCCTATTTGTTGATAAGGCCTCTGTATGTGTTGATAGCGACGATGTTGATATGACCAGTGTTTATAAGGTCTGTGTTGATAGGGCTGCGGTTGATTTAGCTTGTGATGATAGGATCTGTGTTGATAAGGCCTGTGTTGATATGGCTTCTTTGTTGATGAGACCAGTGTTGATAAGGATGGTGCTGATAAGGCCTGTGTTGATATGGCTTATTTGTTGATGAGACCAGTGTTGATAAGGATGGTGCTGATAAGGCCTGTGTTGATATGGCTTATTTGTTGATGAGACCAGTGTTGATAAGGATGGTGCTGATAAGGCCTGTGTTGATGACACCAGTGTTGATAAGGCTTGTGTTATTATGGCCTGTGTTGATAGGGCCAGTGCTGACAATTATTGTGTTGATACTATTGATAGGGCATGTGATGTTATGAAAATCCAGACAGCTACCCTTGTAGACGTTTTAATTAATTTGATATTTTATTAACCAAAACTCTTTTTTTTAATTAACAAATATTTACAGCATTTTGTCTCAATATAGAAAATATATAGCAACACAATTTCAAGATATTCAAATAAGTCAAAACTAAATTTCAATCATTTTAAATTTACTTGTTCTCACCATTCCATCGTCCCACAGGCAATACAATAGAGAACCATTTATCAGCAACTTTCATGTGCATTCACAAGCCACTAATCCTCCTAAAAATTTCATCAACCAATAGACACGCACACACACACATTTTATAGCACATAGATGCCGATGCTTCAGAGTATCTACATGTTTTCAGCTCATTCTTCAAAAAATTTAGAACTTTCAACTTCACCTAATCCCTTAGTCTGTTGGACCGTTGGGGGCACCACACAGGATTTGCCGATCATCTTTCGTCTCTCTGTCTTATTGCCTTGGATAGGAGTCTCTTTCAATGGCAGGCCCGTTCATTCTTTTATGTTGTCTTAGGGGCTCATCGCTTTCTTTGTCTGCCGTATCTTCTTTTTCTTGGTTCCCTGAAGGAAGGTCTTTGTGAGCCCCGAAGACCTTAAATTGTAATATGGCCATAGAGTTTTAGTTTGCGTTGTTGTTTTTTTTTTGGTTTTTTTTTACAATAATTAGCAAGTCATTGTGAACATTTAGCAAGACAAAATCTGGTTGGCTTTCTTCTCCTAGTCAGGTCCGGCCTTACGCTTTGGCAAACTTCGCAGCTACTTCAGAGTAAGAGGGGCCAAGACTCTCTATATTTTTTTTAGTTTAAGTAGAAATAGTGTACATAGTGTTATTGTTTGAATACATTAGGTTTTAAATAAATTGCGAAATTGTATTTTTTCGCTATTTATTTATTGGTTTTTTTCCGCCAAACTCATTTCGCCTAGGGCCTCCAATTATTTAAGGCCGCCATCTCTTAGTATATTTCTTTTATAAATATATTTTTTTTGTTTCCCCTTAAAAATATGTAAAAAAAAAAACAACAACATTGCTTATGATTAATTGTATCCACTTTTAGCAGTGCAGAATTACATTTTTCTAAGCGCTTCCATTTTCTAACTTTTATTTAGTTGGCAACTTTGAACTTTTGGTGTCCTTGACATTGTTTACTATTGTTATATCATTATCGGTATTTTAATGGCGCCATGAATACGTTATCTGAAATCTGATTCATCAAATTTACTCCTTTTTCTTTCGTTTTTAGTGACTCTGTATCTCCTGAAACTTCCCTTTCGTTGCGTATATCTGTACTGCGTTAGTGATGTCAAACAAATGAATTTGTTTTTAGAAAGAAAGAGCGGGGAAGGGGAAGCCTGAAGTGCCAGATTTCTGTTTGCTCCTGAACTATCAGATAAATGGGCATGACGTATCATTGTTATCTCAGATCGAGGCTTGTGTAAACTCACACACGTCCGCACGGTGTGGGAACTCGAATAGATACCATGGGTGGGCAAGCTAACCGGTCTCATAGGGTTAATATACAGTTATGCAGATTTAGCCCTGTTAGTCTAAAAAGGGTTAATGTTATCTAAAACTGTATATGCATTGCCGCAGTGGTGTCCTTTTTTTCCTGGCTGAGGACCATTTCAATTTCCCGACATTCTTGTTAAGTGCCACGCGAAAAAAAAATTGTCTAGACCAATGGATTTGAGCCTCTGCGATTTCATAATTCACTGCGGGCAGGAATCTAATAGGGCCCGAAAACACCCGAGTTAAGAGCCGGATGTCGTTCGCGGGTCATAGTTTTAGCTTCACTGCATTCCAGTGTTTGATTGATGGTGTCATTGTTATCATCAGGGATGAATTGACGCCATGTCTTCCTTCATACATGGACTGCCAAGTCTTCAAGTTCTATATTTTTTATTTTTTAACAATAGGCTACATATATTTGTGTAACAAAATGTGTATATCTATACTATTTTCTTTATAAAGTAGAAAGTAAGGCGTATGTATGTATGTATGTATGTGACAAATAGAAATCAGAACCGTTTGACCAATCTTGATAAAACTTGGCAGAAATGTTCCTTGGGTACCAACTTAGACCGTAGTGTATGTATTGTGGCCTTAAAACAAACTTAAGAACCTCAAAAAAGAAAAAGA